CCATCTCGAAGCGGGGGCTTACAGGTTCTAGGTGGGTTAAAAGATTCTTTTGCCTGTAATTGGTTAAAGACATGAAGCTTTGTCTAGAGGCTTGGAATGTTTCAATGTAAGGAGCTCTTTATCAGAGATAAGCCACTGAACATAGATTTGTTGTGTAAATTGAGGACCTGCAGGTTTGACTTGCATACCCTTAGGCCTGTTAATGGGTTACAAAGGATGTTCCCAAGAAGGGAGGGGGGAATGATAAGGCAGTCTGACCTCCTTCCTCTTGGCAGACAATTTAGTTTTAGGGTATTCCTTTGGCCACGAGGGGGTCCATTTAGTCAGCCGGTTGGGGGGTGAGCCTTAAAATTTCATCTCAGTTCACACTATATACTTTCTTACTCCGAACACATTTTTCTTCCTCCTTTCCTGGCTCCAAACCCCTTCATTCTCTCCCTTTCTTAATAAATTTTTGATGATTATTTTTCAATTCTTCAGCCACCGGAGCCCCACAAAGTGGCCTTCAGTTTCTGCTTTTATTTCCAATGCATCATCTCCCAGCCTCTCAAACTCCAGTCAAAAGGTTTTGTCCATTCCTGCTTAAAGAGATAGATGGAGGAAAATGAGATCTTTCTTCCCAGAAAGACACCTACCTGGAGATTACTAATTAAGTAACCAGAAATTCTGTCAATAATGAGCCCCTTCCCCTGGCCCACTGAAGTGCCTTCAATAATCACTCTACATAGACTGGAACTCACTTCAGAGCTGGTTTTGACTTGCCATCTAAATTGCAAGGAAAAGCAAAACAAATCTCACTGTGAATTTGGCTTGTCAATTTACTATATAAATATCCCTGTTTCCTCCCTCTGGTGAAATATCAAGTCCTGCTAAGAGTTCTGGGTAGAAAGGTCCCTTCTGTAAACATGGCTTTTCTTTGGCAAATATTGTTGCTGATCTTACCCTTGGTTCAGAAATTAAGCCTCATTCTTACCTTGAAGAAGCAAAAGGTTTTTTGTGTGTATGGAATAGAAAACATCTTTAATACTGTTTAAAAAAAAAAATCAGGACCACATAAACAAGATTCTAGAAGAAATATTCCCATCCTCCAGAGTATGAGCTACTAGTAAAATGATATATAATATTTCAAGCTCAACAGGATCTCACTGCCATGAAGCATTCTTACATTCCTGGGCACGGAGCTAGTCTAAACATTCACAGGGCTCTTCAATGATATTTTGGCTCCTACATCAGCAGAGCGGAAGCAGCAGACAATGGCAGGGTGTACGGGCCTGCTTTCACACATAGAATAACAGAAAACCCAACTCAAAGGTCTTTCCAAAAAGGAAATATATTTATTCATAACAAGTGAAGTTCAGAGGTAAAGCAGACTTCAGGCTGCCCTCAATGACATTAGCAAGAGTCCAGGTTTCCAGACCTCTGCTCTACAATCTACACTGACTTCTTCATCTTGAGGCTGGTTCTCCTAGCTATAAAGTGGCTGCCAGCAGCAACTGGAGTTTCTCTCTAAAGAGGGAGGAAGGATGTCTTGAAAATCTTAAGCAAACCTCTCTCTTCAAGGCTCTGCAACCAGGACTTGGTCACGTGTCCATTCCTAAACCAATTCCTGGCAAAAGAGAACACATTACCCTTAAATTATTCTAGCTCGGGTAAGCTTTCCCTTGATACTTGGCTGCTAAGGGGAGGATGGAGGCTTGAACAAAATTGGGGCTCTGTTTAGAGGAAGAAAAAGGCTGAGTAGGCTACCAACAGTGTCCCCACCTGAAGACAGAGTCTTTGCTGAGTAGGAGCATGAAATGGCTAAGTTAAAAAAGGAAGTGCATTGAGAACCCTTCCAACTAGCAGATTCCAGGAAGACTCGATCATTCCTGATCCTAAATCTGTTTGTTCATCCATCTGAGCGGAAACACTGTGTAATATTAGGACGCTGTGCAGGTTCTGCAAGAGGTATGAGGTAAATGAAATGGCTCTGCTTCAAGAGTGTACTGCACAGTGAGCCATATGAGGTATCTGTAAATAACAACAAAAGGTAGAATCACCTTGCGGACAGTTCCATCTCCAATAGGACCTCCAAGGAGGGTGACCACATCTGAGCAATTATGAGGAACGTGTTAGGTGGGGATCAAATGTGCAGGTGGTGGGTTTAGGCCAGCAGGGTAGTTCCTAGGGCTGGAGAAGCCGGGGACCAATCAGAGGAAGGGACAGCAGGGAACCGCAGAGCACCTGATAACCATTTGGCCTCCTGCACCTCCTGTAAGCCCGCCCCTGACCAGGCCAATAAAAGGAAACCACCCGGGAGTCCTCAACGTCTTTCTGCACTCAGGCAGACCTGTTCCTCTCTCTGGAACATATTTTCACTTTGGATCGTTTCTTTCTTTCCTGTAATACGCTGTTTGGGATCGCTTTGCATTTGTAATCGGTCTGTCATCAGCTCAGCTCAGTACCAGGACTCACTCTTGACACTGGGAACCGTGGAGCAGGGAACACTGAGACAGATCTAACAAACGGCAGCAAGAAGAGGGCGGCTTCTGAGCTGAGCCTTGTGCAAGATCAAATTTTGCATAGCATGGGGACAGGAAGTCCTGGGTGCAGGGATGGCAACAGGGGAAGAAAGTTAAAAGCCGTGATGAGGGAATTACCTTTAGTGTAAATTGCTCCCCCACCACAAGGGGAAAAGGTCTGACTTGTCACCCTAGTGACTTCACTGGGTATCTCCTTCAGATCCCCACCCCACCCTCCTTCTCCACCTCATTCCATGGCCCCACGGGTTCGCCGTACGGACTACATCAGCCAGGTCCTCTTTTTCTTGGCTTTGGTTGGGTTCAGACTGGAGCAAAAGAGAGTGGAGGTATCATGCCTCCAGCTTTTTCCTTGCCAGACTGCAGGTTGGCAGTGGCTACATTCCTCTCCCCAAAGCCATGTTGGGGCAGCCCTTCCCTATAACTAGTTTCTAGTAACCGCTCCCTCCCTGTTCACCACGCTGCGATAGCAGCTTTGCCTGGCGCTTCATCATCATGTGTTGGTTTTTCTTACACAGTCGACACCTTTATATAAAAGCCCCTTCACTACGCTCTCCCGGGTTGGCCCTTTTGCGTATCCCCTCTGCTTCCTGCCTGGACCGTGGCTGACAGAGACCTTGTAGTCAACTGAACTTAACCAATAATTTTTTTTAATCTCTTTTGCTGTTCTTTTGTTTCTAAGTTCTGGGCGTCTTGTTTCCATTTTCTAAGTGTTTCATAAATAATAAACTTCCCACCAGACCTATAAGTTGTAACACCTTCACCTCTACCCTGAAGAGCTAGTTATCTTTCAAAATGTTGGAACTATACAAATGACAAAAGAAAAAAAATAAATAAATTGGACTTCACTAAAATTAAAATATTTTTTGCTGCAAACAGTATCAAGAAAGTTAAAAGATAACCTACAGAATAGGAGAAAATATTTGCAAATCATATCTGATAAGGGACTTATATCTGGAATATATAAAGAATTCTTACAGCTAAATAATGAAAAAAAACCCCAATGTTTTAAATGGGCAAAGTATGTGAATACACATTTCTCTAAAAGAGATTACAATGGCCAACACATACATGAAGAGATACTTGACATCATTAGCCATTTGAGATATGCAAATCAAAGCCACAATCAAAGCCACTTCATGGCCACAAGGATGGCTGTAATTATAATAAAAAGACAAATGAGTGTTGACTGGCAAGGATGTGGAGAAGTCAGAACTCTCATGAATTGGTGGTGGGAATGCAGGACGGTGCCAGCTACTTTGACACTTCCTCAAAATGCTAACCATAGAATTACTATATGTTTCCCTTTTATTTTTAGTTGACGTGTAATAATCGTATATATTTATGGGATACAGAATATTTCAATACATGTATACAATGTGTAATGAACGATCAAATCAGGGTAATTAGCATATCCATGACCTCAAATATTTACCATTTCTTTGTGTTGTGAACATTCAAAATCCCCTCTTCTAGCTTTTCAAGACTATGCAAAAAGTTACAGTTAGCCGTATTCACCCTGCAGTGCTGCAGAACAACAGAACTTGGTCCCCCTCTCTAGCTGTCATTTCGTAACCTTTAATCAGCCTCTCCCCATCCTCCCCTCCCCCACCTTTCCCAGACTCTAACACCCACAGTTCTACTCTATTCTTCCATTAGCTCAAGTTTGGTTTTTGTTTTAGCTCCCACAAATGAGTGAGAACATGCAGTATTTATCTTTCCGCACCTGACTTATTTCACTTAACGTAATCTCCCAGCAATTCCACTTCTAGGTATATATTTGAGAAGTAAAAATATGTGTCTGCACAAAAATTCGTACACAAATATTCATAGCAGCATTATTTATAATGGCCCAAAAGTGGAAACAACCCGAATGTCCGCCATCCAACGAACAGATAAATAAAATGTGGTCTATCCACATGACGGACTATTATTGTGTGCTAAAAAGGAAGGAAGCACCGACACATGCTACCACATGGATGAACCTTGAGAACAATATGCTAAGTGAAAGAATTCACTCACAAAATACTGCATATTACATGATTCCATTTGTATGAAATAGGGAAATCCATAGAGGCAGAAAGTAAATTATTGGTTGCCTGGGGAGACTTGGGGAGAAATGGGAGTGACTGCTAACGGGAAGTTTCTTTTGGGGATGATGAAAAAGTTGTAAAATTGACAGTGGTGCGGTTGCACATTTCCTTGAATATACTGAAAAACATTGTACATCTTGAATCAATGTATTGTATGGTATATGAATAATATCTCAATAAAGCTAATAAAAATAATAAGTGTTTTAAAAATTTGAAACCAACTAATTCTAAAAGCAAATGTTTCCAAAAACATCTTTGTCTATAATCTTCAGACCCTTTCACATGACAGGCATTCAGTAGCCCCAACAATAAATTTGAGAACAAATGAGCAGCTCATTAATCACCATTCCCCACCTCATAACCCACTTCTTTCTTCAGAAGCTAAACACATCAAGACAACAACAGCGGCCTGGGATCTGTTGCTCCTGTATCAGCTCCCACCACATCTGGAGCCCGTGGCACTTCCTTTCTCAAGCTCCCAAGGATGCCCAGGGAGCGGTTAGAATCAGGCCAGATATCGGATGAGCTTGTCACATCTGGTTGTCTGCACTTTGTCCTCCAATTACCCAGCTCTGCTAACTGTCTCCTGGAAGCCAGGGAGGAGAGTGACTAGTTCATACCTAAACAGAAAGTCTGAAGAGCCCTAGCACTTACAAGTTTAAGAAAACCCTCAGAATCCTCAGAAACTTTTACAAAAATGAAGACTTGGAGGGCTTGTTGCTTTCTAGTATGCCTGAATATTTCATAATTCTCTGAGTCTCCGACGTGAAACTAAATTGATCACAAGCTTATTGGCCAGAGTGGTTTATGTTAGGATAAAATAAAACACCTCTTACCAACCTCTGAGAGCAACTTCTCCGTGTATTCATGATAACTAATATTATCAAAAGAACTTAGGGCAACTTTAACAAAAGAAGAGCTCACTAAACATGCTTTGACAGATGTGTCAAAGGTTGTTCATGCAAACGCCCCTTCTGAGCTGGCATTGTGCTGTAGGAGGGGGTGCTGCAGGAAGCCAGGGCCTCAGTCTTATATGACCCTGGAAAAATCACTCAGTGTCTAAAGCTCCATGGAATCAGTGCCCCAAACCAGAGTATCTCTGGAGGAACTCCTAACTAACTCAAAAAATAATCCATCGACGTTAAGGACTTAAAAACTTTAACCTAAAATTTTAAAATACTGTTAGTGGTAAAAAAAAGCCATGTGATTTTTCTAGAATTATTGTTGCCTACATCGCTTTAAATCTTTGACATAAATGGAAATTTCCATGAAAAATTCTAAAGTTCTAAGCAAATCAAATAGGCTAAGCATTAATAATCAGGAAGATGAACTAGGTGGAATTAAATTTGTTGGATTCTAGTGAGAGCTGATAGAGATAGTGTTTTCAACTGTGCTGTTGACGTTCTAAGAAAAAGTTAAGTCAGTCTGAGATGTCCAAAGACCTTGTAATCCACATGCCGGTAAACAGGCATGAAGTAGGTAAGCTCTAGAACCTTGTTGAGGACACAAGTATTCCCAGCAGTAGTAAGAATTTTGCAGAATTGGAGGGTCATGCCTCCAAATTTGTGTACTTTGTGAAATCTCTTGCAAGAAGAAAGAGGAATAGCTAGAGTTATGGAAATAACAGTTGATGAAAACGTGGCAATCTGAGGTCTGAACTTTGAACGATAGCAGAGAAGCTGAGAACTCTCTTTGATTATGGGCCCAAGTTCCATGTGCAGCCACAGGACTCAGTGTGGCAATGTGCACTGGTGTGAGGCCTAGGAGAGTACCACAGAGTGACAAGGCACCAGGCTCTAGAAAGAGAGGAAAGTACTGACAGGACCTGGTCAGAGATGTTTCCCTGACCATTGTTTGCTGTGTAATCCCACTGACCAGACCCTGGAGTTCACACCTGAAACACACTGTAATTTACCTGCATATTATTTGTAATATCTGGTATGTCTGGCCAGGCGAGGTGGCTCATGGCTGTAATCCTAGCACTCTGGGAGACCAAAGAGGGAGGATCATTTGAGGTCAGAAGTTCAAGACCAACCTGAGCAAGAGCAAGACCCTGTCTCTACTAAAAATAAAAAAATTAGCTGGGCATGGTGGTGTGTGTCTGTTATCCCAGCTACTCAGGAGGCTGAGGCAGGAGGATCTCTTGAGCTCAGGAGTTTGAGGTTGCAGTAAGCTATGATGATACTACTACACTCTAGCCAGGGTGACAGAATGCAACTCTGTCTTGGAAAAAAAAAAAAAACTGTTATGTCTAAGTAAAACATGCTGTATTATGATATATATATTGGTTTTCACTATGGTTCCTGGTTCATAACTCCCATTGTCCTCGTTATAATGTTGGGGTGCTTTAGGCCTCAGGAGACAGAATCTCTCTCTGACTTTCTCCTGCCCTCCTTTTACCTGTCCAAGGCAGGACTCTAATCTGATTAAGAATCAAAAGACCTTCATTCCAGAGAGGATCCTGCCCCATACCCTGGAGGGATGAATGCTGCACCGAGAGAGCAAAAGAATCTGAACAGACAGGCCTTGCTGGGTTTAGATCACGGGATTTTTGTCCAGTCACGTTTCTACACAGTTGTCAATCATGCCTATGTAATGAAGCCTCCACAAAAACCCAAGAGGACAGGGTGGTGCATCCCAACTCCATGGGGACAGAGGCTCCTGTGTTCAGGCCCCTCACCCTGTGTATTTCTCCATCTGGCTGTTTATTTGTATCTTTTGTAATAAACCAGTAAATGCAGTAACTGTCTCCCTGAGTTCTGTAGAGCTGCCTAGCAAATTAAACCCCAAAAGGGGGGTCTTGGGAACCCCAACTTGAAGCTAGTTGGTCAGAAGTTCCAGAGGCCCCAACTTGGGACTGGTGGGAAGGAGGGTCCAGTCTTGGGGACTGAGCCCTCAGCTTGTGGGACCTGACGCTCTCACGGGGAATGCAGTGGCAGAATTTCAATAGAGGATGCTCTGCCGGAGTCCACTGCATGGTGCGTGGGGGCACACCCACATCTGGTCACAGAAGTCTTCTGTGCAGATTGTTGTGTGGAGTTCGGAGGAAAGCGTGGTTTGAGAGTGTTTTCCCAAAGCATATGCTATGCAACTTTTTCCATCGTGTGGATTTGATTTTCCTCAGTTAACCCTTTTTTTTTCCCTTTAGAGACCAGTTCTCACTCTGTCACCCAGGCTGGAGTGCAGTGGCAAAATCGTAGCCTCGAACTCCTGGGCTCAAGGGATCCTCCTACCTCAGCCTCCTGAGTAGCTGGGATTACAGGTGTGTACCACCACACCTGGCTAATTTTTTATTTTTTTAATGTTTTGTAGAGACAGGGTCTGGCTGTGTTACCCAGATTGGTCTTGAACTCCTGGTTTCAAGTGATCCTGCCGTCTCAGCCTCCTGAGTTGCCAGGATTACAAGCATGGGCCACTGCACCCGGCTCAGTTAACCCTTTTATGTTCTTATAATGTCCCAGTGAAAACAAACAAAAATTATATGTAAGTTAAGGAGGCGTGCCTGACAGGATGACCCTACCAATATCTACAATGAAGATGGGCACATTAGGCAGGTACTTTCTGCTCTATTTTGCTGTGGACCTAAAGCTGCTCTAAAAAATAAAGTCCATTTTTAAACTGGATGGGGGTCCATCTAGAACTGGGCTTTACAAGATGAGAAAGATTTGAAAAGCCAGGGGGGAAGGAGAGAAGAGTATTTCCCACATAAGGCAAGAGGGACACTAATCTCCTGGAACGCAGAGGGAGAGGCCAGAGGGGGGAGCAGAGACTGGCGGGATACAGGGGAACTGGGACGAGGTTTTGGACGTTAGACAGCAATGGTGTTTGAAGTGTGCTCTGGAAAGACAACCCTACCCGCTCCGGTGTGCTCACTGGTCTGCTCTGGTGAGGCAGACCCAGTGCTAGGGAGGAGCGACCAGGAAGGGCAGGGCCAGCCAGGTCCTGCGGCTGAGAAGGAGCCGCCAAGGGAGGGCAGCGCAGGGGCTGAGTCCAGGGGCCGCCTGGCCGTTCAAGGGGCCTGTGATGCTCTTGGGAGGCTGAGTCCTGTGGCCTCTCATCCCCTGCACCAGGATGCCTGGTCAGCCCCTTCAAGGGGAGGTGGAGCTCTCTAGATCTTAGCTATTGTGGGTTGAATTACATCCCCCAAAAAGACATGATGAAATCCTAACCCCTGTACCTATGAATGTGACCTTATGTGGAAACAGTGTCTCTGCAGATGTAATCTTGTTAAAATGAGGTCATTAGGGTGGGCTTGTAGTCCAGGGCGGCTGGTGATCTTAAAAGAAGAAGAACATTAGGAAGACACAGAGATGTGCATAAAGACGACCACAAAGTGACAGAGACAGAAACTGGAGTCACACATCTACAGGCCAGGGAACACCGAGGCTCGCTGAGAACCACCAGACTCTTGGAGCAAGCAGGGATGGACCCTGCCCTGGGGTTTTCAGGGGGAGCATGATCCTGCTGACACCTTGATTTCTGGCCTCTGGCCTCTGGAACAGGGACAGGGGACAAGGGCGGAGGTGCGTCTGGAAGAAGCATTTTGCTGGGGTTGGCCGGGAGTAAGTGCTGGGAAGCAGAGGAAAGACCTGGGACCTGCCCAGCCGCTGGGAGGCTGATCCTCAAACAGGGAACTCTGGCAACCCCAGCTTCATGCTGAGAGGGAGGATGAGCGAGAGCCGGTGTCTGGCAGCCTCCCTGCTGCGGAGGCTGTGGTTCTCCACTGCCCAAGGGGTGAGAGGCACAGGGGCAGGGACCCAGCTGGGTTTAAATTAGGGGGGTGGATTTTGATCAATTTTGAGTTTTAGGATATATTAAACTAGAGGGAAGCAAAACCAGAGGCAGGAAAAGACATTTCTAGAAATCAGTTCATAGTCAAAAGGAAAATATCATATCATTAACCAGGGCGGGGGCAACTGCAAGCGAAAATAGTTCAAGGACCTTGAAGATATTCCACAGGTGTGACTGAAAGTAGGGACTCAAACAAGTACTTACACTTTGATGTTCATGGCAGCATTATTCACTAAAACCAAAAGGTGGAAACAACCTAAATGTCCAGCAATGGATGAACGATAAACAAAACGTGGCATATCCCTACAATGGAATATTACTTAGCCGAGTAAAGGAATGAAGTGGTGGCCCCTGCTACACTGTGGGTGAACCTCACAAACATTATTCTACGTGCAAGACGTCTGTCACAAAAGGTCACACGTTGTATGATTCCATTGACATGAAATATACAGAGTAGGTAAATCCAGAGACAGACAGCAGAGGGACGGTTGCCAGGGCGTGAGGGAGGAAGAAAGGGGAAGCAACTGCTTAACGGGTACAGAGTTTCCTTTTGGGGTGATGAAAAGTTTTCGGAACTAGACAGAGGTGGTGGTTGCACCACATTGTGAATATACTAAATGCCACCCAATTGTTTGCTTCCAAGTGGTTAATTTTATGTTACGTAAATATAACCTCAGTAAAAAAATAAATGTTTAAAAAGTAAATGAAAGTGGGAGGGCTGAGGAGGTGGCAGGAGAGGGCGCTGATCACCCTGGCGATGGCAGTCTGAGTGTCAGTGGCTACAAGGCAGGAGCCTAAAAAACTAGCTCCCCACACATCAGCCCGTGTACACATTCAAAGTAGGTCATCGAAAATA